TCCCGCGCGGTTATTAGTCATAATATTTAACGCCGGCTTAATGGGGGAGCTCATGGCATAATTTCCATCCGGTACATTCACCTGCTCTCTCTTTAAACCCCCTGATTTGCTTTTGAGCTGGATGCTATGGAAGGAAATAGGATATTTATGCTGCAGTGTGGAGGGAATTAACCCATAAATGTGAAAATGGGAAGAAGGAAATGGGGTTATAATAGCTCTGCAAAAAAATATATATATATATCAGGATTAGCTCTACTTCTGCAAAATGTAAAAAAAAAAACTAATTTATTTTTTTGCATCTTTCTCACTTCTGTAATTAACCCGCAGAGGCAAAGCTGATACATGGTACATTATGAGCTGTTAAACAGAAACACTGAGAAGCAGCGGAATCTGACATTCTCAGTGATTTTTTGTTTTTCAAAATACATGAAACAAGGAAATGTTTCAGCGAATTGAATCTAAAACTTCTCCATTTAGAGACAATCCTCTAAAGGGGCCACAAACCACTTAAAATGCCCCCCTTTAACCCAACAGGCTTTTGGGAGTAACACAAACACCTCCAGATGTTTTCACCTTGGTATTCAGTGCAAAGCAACATCATTAAGCCTGGAATTGAATCACGGTGTTAACAAGCAATAAGGCCTCGTCCTGAAGTTTAGGCCTCTTTCAAACCACAAGCTCAAACTGGATTACTTTCTGAATTTCATTGGACATTAGGGAGCCTTATCAGCAAACACCAGCGCCTCCACGGTCTGCAAGTTCCTCTTTGAAACCACGTAGGCAGGCAAAGAATGCCTTGATATTCCAGGAGCTGAACAAAAGCCTTTTTTTGTGTGTTTCGTTTCTCTCACATTTAGAGATTGAGGGCCTCAGGCGACTATTGCTTCACACTCGGGTTTTTGGAGATGAAGTGAGCGCACTTTAGTCAGTCGGTTGGAGCACGTCTTTTGTTTCAAAAATAAACTGTTGCAGCATTTGAAGGTGCTAAAAAAAAAGAGCCCTGCTGAGAATGACGGCAGTGAAAAAATGGAAGGATTGTTTGAAAGACAAGAGTCCCTTTTCAATGTTGTACGTGCTTTGTGACTACGTTATCACATTAGAAACTGGCGTGATACTGTAATTTCACCTTCCTGCTAAAGTTTGTCAACCTAATGCTTCAGCTGCCAAACTAAGTTACTGAAGAAAGTGTGGCAAATTGATTCAATAAAACTTAAGAGACAAAGACAAGCATGATGAATTATGTTTGTGTGCTGAATGGAAAATTGTTTGCTTTCAGTTTTTAACCAAATAACGATGGGAAATTATTGGTCCATTTTCCCACATTAAAATGACTCTTACTGCTTCCAGTTTTTTCACATTACATCATAAAATTCCGATCAATTTTAGAAGAATTTCAAGTTATGGGCCAACTGAAATGTTAAATGGCCTGTACTTATTTTGTACTTTACTCTTCAGTCATTCACCCATTCACACACACTAGGATGGTGGCAAACTACAGTGTAGCCACAGCTGCCCTGGGCCCCACTGACAGAAGCAAGGCTTCTGTACACTGGCCCCACCGGGCCCTCTGACCATCATCAGTAGACAATGCAGGTAAAGTGTCTTGCCCAAGGACATAACAACACTGAAAGCCTGAGCTGGGGTTTGAACTGTCAACCCTTTGATTTCAGGGCAAACTCCTAGATCCAACACCACTGTCCCCCCCTAGAAAATGAACAGAAATTAGGGCACATTCATTAGGTAATAAGTAGAAAAGGTAAACAGGTCAAACATAAAGCTGTGGAGAAGTTTAAAGCCAGGGTTAGTTTATAAAACCATAATTTACTCTCTGCACCTTTAAAAAAGCTCCATTTAATTCATTATCTGAAAGTGGAAAGAGTTTGACGCACCTGCAAACCTACTAAGAACCCTGAGCCCTCATCAGAGCAGCCAAGGTGGGCATTGGATTCAAGAGGTAAAAAAGGGATCCAGAGTTCAGGTGGAAGATTGTGTAAGACAGCTATTAGGTGTACGCACTACAAATCAACAAAAATAGTTATGAGCTCCTACTTTATGCTGAAAATGATTCCATGCCAGATGGACTTGTACCAAGTCCAGTCCTACCACTCAGTCCTTCCATATCCCCTCCTGCAGAATGTCTTACACTGTCAGGATAATTTTAGTCAAATCCATAAGACAAAAAAAAAAAGAAAACACAGCTCATTCCTCAAAAGTCAGATCGGTCAAATTTTGTTTGGGAAAGCTTTTCCGACTCTAATGCTTTGAGTGTGCACTGGCAAGTTCTTGCCATTCAAGCTGGCATTTCACAGTTCGTCGGGGTCATTACAGTCAAACTCAGCCTCAAAGATGTAAGATTGTAAAAAAACCTTTCCTTTTGGTGTAATTAGCTGAAATACACACAAAGCAGAATCACTAGAATAATTTTCAGTGTATTTTCTAAAAATGCTGGAAATTCTTCCTTATCATCAAGCTGTGTTATGAATGTCAGTGATCATTTGCAAAAATAAAGCACTGAAAATTATCTTTAGCCATATCAAAAAGGTTTAAACTGAAAGTGTATCTGTTTATCTATGTAGCTGTATATCATTTCATTGGATCCCTGCTACTTCCCAAGATTGCAGCTTAAAGATAAAGGAATGCTGGGCTCCTGGTTTCTCCATCAAACATAAAGTTTCATCAAATGACCCCATTAGATTTAGCTTTTTTTAACCTTAGACACACTCTATGTTTTTAGGACAATTTCCTTCAAGACTTTCTGGTGCCTTTTAGTGACAATTGCCTTCTTTTTGACCTTCATGCTTTAACACCATGATTGGTGGACTGTTTGGCTTTCTAGTATTTCTTCTCTGAAAAGTAACTCTGAGGTTTATTCAAGGCAGCTTCTGACTTTTTGAGTTTACTCTTTCGACCAAGTCCTTTCATTCTCTGATTACTCCATTTGACTGGCCAAGTTTAGTAAGACTGTTTTTTTGAAAACAATATTGGCTGTAGTGATTTAGGGCACTTTCAACAGCGCATAGTGTTCTTTCACACTTCTTCAGATTTGTAGCTTGTCAAAATCTTGCCTTGCTAAGGTACACACTTTCTTGTTTATTACTTCTTTTTCACCAATACTGTATGTTCAGTTACCAAGCAAGGATTTTTTTTTACATTATCTTCCAAGAAATGTCCTTATAGGTATTGTGGAGGATCTTCGCAAATTTTAGAAAAGACCAGACTTAGGCACATGCACACCATGTACCTGTACCCGAGAGGGAACATGTGTGCAAGAGCATGCACAAACCCATTTCTCCTCGTGCACGCTCTGTTTAAAAATCTGCTGTTTGTATCACACGTACAAGCTTACTTTCAAAAAAAGATTTGCAATTTTCCACTATGTCAGATTCACCACCGGTAAGGGAAAATAGGGACGAGCACGTAGAACGGCCTTACATAAACATATCACCAGAATGATTGACAGTTAGGAGGACCACTTATTGCGATGATCCACCTGGAAAAAGAACATCCTCCACTATACCTTTAACAAGACCCAAAGGTTCCAAGAAATTATCAGTATCACAGCTGGGAAATTAGTTGGAAAATATGTGTTCTTGATTCTTCTCTCCCATGGAAGCCATTTTGTGTTTTAATCTCTTTTTTTTTTATGTTGAGTCATGGACACTAAGTTTAACGGAAGCAAGTCGGCCTGCAGTATTTTAGAGGCAGGGAAGGAGGGGGGACTCCCTCTTTTTTTTTTTTTTTTTTTAAACAGCTTTAGCGCATTTAAAAGTACAACACAAAATTTAGTTTCTTTTAGTTTTTTGTTCTAGTTTATGCAGAATTTTAGTGTTTGGATAATGTTAAATGGATAAAGGCCCCATTTAAAACAGCTTCTTTACTAAGTTGCCAGTAGACAACAATCACTTACACTTTCTATTTTTTAAGTTTTTATGCGTGAAAGTCAGTCCTCTAACAAGTATCCACCGACTGCTACTCCTCTAATAACCCTGCCTAAAAGTCAATTTGATTTTATTTTACATACAGGAGATAACAGCAAAAGTCTTTTGAGGTGAAACTTACTTTACATCAAACTGCTGGTGAAGATTCTCAATCATCCAGGTCATCCCAAAAAAACAAACAAACTTCAAAACCCTGATGTTCCGACTCCCCCCTAATGCTTTAAATCCAAGATGAGTTAAGCAAATGTTTTGCTGAAAATATTCAGTAAATGAAAAGAAGCAAAACCAGTTATAATCCAAAACATTGGAAAGGCCTTCAGCAAGCCTGGAAAACTGTAAGTCCTCTCCACCCAAGATTACTAGAAATAGAATCATAATATAAATTCCTATGTGGTGCCTTGGAAACCTTAGCATGATACAGGACTGCAAGGCCCAGCAACCTCAAATGTTTGTACATTTCTGTATTTCCCGGTAGACCAGGTATGCAGTTTTGGGCTTGTTAGTATGGCACATCTAAAAGGAAATCCAAGGATTCCCCCGAACCCTATTGAATTAAGGATAAAATATTTTATTTTTAAGAGTAGTAAAATAAAAACATTTTACAAAGTTTTTGCAAATTACCATAGATATTTTTTATTTACATTTTGTATTTCTTATCACTTTATGCATCGAACAGTTATACGTCCTTGACAGCTTTAAAATCTAAACCAGGAAATGAGTCAAATGTCTTATTTGACGGCTGACATTACTGACCTGAATGAAAACCTTAAGTGACATTTTAGCTAAAAATTCAAGGAAATTCAAGTAGATGCAGGCTGATCCTGCTCAGCTTGTGACAAACACAACAGGCAGCCTCGACAGCAGGGGAGGAATCTGTCCTTCAAAGTCTTGTCCACTAACATCACAATCAGTCTTCACTGTTGCTGTGCAGTAATGTCAATCTCTTTACTGTCTATTCATCTAGTCTTTGTGGTTATGTGTGTGGCGTGCTTCACATGTATGTCCTCTTTTCTCTTTCTCTCCCTTTCTCCCCCTCTTTTACTTCCTCTTCTCTCTGTGTTGGATGAGAAGTTGAGCCCCGGGGCACCAGACGAAGATGGCAAGTTGTCGGTAGGTCTCGTCTGACTGACTCTTTTTGCAATCTTGCTTCTGTGTTTGTCCTTGTTCTCTGTGTAGATGTCCTTAATGTGTAACTTTTCTCCCACAACACTGTGAACGCAACATGGCACACTGCTACTTCCACCCCTCAGCCTCTCTGTGTGCAGAGAGTGGCGCCGTCTGTTTTCTCAAGCCCTTTGCTTTTTCCTCCGTTTGCCTTTGCACGCGGCATGCAAAAGGCAATTAAACAAGGAGCACGTGTCTCTCAGTCTGCAGACTGTTTTAACGCATGTGTAAGAGCTTCCATGTAGAACGCAGGAAAGGGGGAAAATAAAGCCAAGCAGCAGATCTACGGGTGTCACCAGACGAGCATTGTCTCCCTCGCCTCCCGCTCACACCCATACGGACTTGTGAATTAACACCTCACACCTCCGGTGCCCACGCATCACCTGAGATCACCCAAAGGCAGACAGATTCCCAACAGCTGTCACCTGTGACGGCGCCTGATTTCTTTCCTTCTTCTCTGGCTTAGCTTCAGCTGTTGGGGGTGACCTTGACGAGAATTCGTTCTGGAGAAGAAACTGAACTGTCACTCTAACTTAGCACGCCTGTCTCAACTGGCAGAGGCTTATAGTTATAAGAAGCAGCAGTGCTTTATGATTTTTTTTACTTAGTTTCAGGTTCCACACATGGGTTTTTAGGAAAAGAGGATTATAGCGAGATGTTTTTCCAAGGTCAAAACACATTTCTGAGTAAATGTTACAAGCCACACCAATACCCTTTGATTGAAGAACGGCACAGGACATCATCAAATGTTTCTGCAGTTATTTTATTCCAAATCACTTTAAACAAATAAGATAACGGCATAATACTTAATTGCTTTGCAAAAGCATTAATAAACCTCAAACCTTTTATTATTCTATTACGTCACAATCATATACCTTAGTGTTTTATTTGATGCTTTTGGAATAAGCCCACCCAAAGTAGACCCGATTTCCATACTTTATTTCAAGATGTTTTACAAATAAATATCTGAAAAACTGTTCTGGTTATACTCATGGATTCATTTACACCGACAGCCAAAAATAAAGTATTGTGTATTTATTTATTTATCTTCAGAAGTCAGCTCCCACACACTGTTCAACTTGCATAGAAAGACATTTATTTGCAAGATGTATTTACGCTAAGGCAAGTTTATTTGTACAATTCA